TGACAGCCTTGGAGACCCTGTGGGGCAGTTCCACTCTGTCCTCTGGGGGCGCTGTGGGTCAGAATGGACTCCAGGCAGTGGGTGTGGTTTGGGCTTTGCTTCTGTGAAGATTGACAGCTTTAGAGATTCTGTGGTGCAGTTCCACTCTGTCCTCTAGGGGCGCTGTGAACTGGAATTGTCTTGAGGGCACATAATAACAACAGTGATCCTGCCTAACAGGGACATTGTGAGGACTGTTGTAATTAGCTGCCAAGGACTGGGGTCCCTGACTCACTCAAGCCCACCATGCACAGTGGGATCGCACTGCTGTCACCTGTAGGGTTTTCATGTTTGGATTTCCAGAACTAGATCTGCAGGCCTTGGCCTGTCTTAGTCTGGAAGCTCTGCTGAAACCTGTCCAGAATCATAGTGACATGCCAGTCTCCCCTGACAGACGGGTGGGGGCTGCTCATGAGATGCACTGACTGGAAATCAAACCCAGGCTTCCTGCCTGGAAGAGGAGAATTCTAGCACTGCCCCCTAGTAGGAGGATTGAATGAAGATTAAGTGTCAGGGATCGAGGACCAGACCAAGTCCTGGGTGGTAGCACCACCAAAGAAAGGCCTGACAATCTACTTCCCTAAAGGTCTTGGCCAAGAAAACCCAACAGGGCAGTTGTACTCTAACCCACGGGGTTGCCATGAGTCAGAATTGACTTGGTGGCAACAGTCTGTTTTGTTTTATTTTGGACCAGTATGTAAAACTTAGGGACTCTGGTGGCATAGTGCCTAAGGCATTTGACTGCTAACCAGAAGGCTGGCGGTTCAAACTCACCAGCCCCTCCTCGGAAGGAAGACTGGGTAATCTACTTCCGTAATGATACTGCCTCGGAAACCCAAGGAGGGGTCACTATGAGTCGGGTCTGACTCGACGGCAGTGAGTTTGGGTTTTCTTTCTTTGTATAGCACTTGCTTCCTGTGTTAGCTACTATTAATATTTTTACTGTGACTAATACTATTGCTGTTGCTATTACTAATATTACTATCACACTTCCTAATACCTATCATTAATCTGTTACTAATATAGTTGCGGTTACTCTTATTGGCAGCCTCAGCGTGAGAAATAGGACAGGCTCAGTTCCTGCCTAGGGTAGACTATGTGCTGGAATCTCTCAAAGGAACCATCAGGCTCCGTTCCTGTGGCCACAGCAGACATTACTAATCAATCCCTGCAGATTTCCAGCCAAGCCACTCAAGGCCCAAAACCAACCCAAACTCACTGCTGTCGAGTTGGATCTGACTCATAGTGACCCCTCCTTGGGTTTCCGAGGCAGTATCACTATGGGAGTAGATTGTCCAACCTTCTTTCCGAGGAATGGCTGGTGGGTTTGAACAGCCAGCCTTGTCAAATGCAGTCAAATGCCTTAGGCACTACGCCACCAGAGCTCCTCACTCAAGGAAATTCCACCTCACTTGGAATAGCCTGTGCTGCCTTGGTCTCCAGGGTAGAATTTACTCGCTTCCTCTCCTGTTGTGTTTTCTATGTGGAATCCCCAACCTCACCTTGCCTCACTTGATAGAGTCCATTGGGTCATGCGATTCAATGCAAATGCTACCCCTGTGCCTGATGGTATCTTCCACTCTCCCTAAAGTCTCACTTGGTATAGTCCATTGGTGCAATGCACATGGTGCCCCTGCCCCTTATGGTATCTTCCACTCTCCTTTAACATCTGCCTTGGTAGAGACCATTGTCCCAGGGGTTACTTTGGGTTTGGAGAACTGCCAACACGCACCCATTCCTTGGGATACTCTGTGAGCCCAGAACACACCTGCCCACCCAGTCCCCCTTACTTGGTGGCGTAGCCCATGCTGAGCATGCGGTTGGTGAGGTGCCGGTCATCTCCAAAGGTGCAGTGGGTCCCCAGGAACTTCTGGTTGTACCAGGCCTCCAGGAACTGCTGCAGGAGGTGGTTTCTGTACAGGCCTAGGTGGGGGTGGGGGCGGAGAGCGTCAGCCTCCGCTGTCTGTCACCAACACCGTCTGCGTTCTTGTCACCAGTCCCAACCGTTCTCCAGTTCCAGCCCCATCCCTTACCATCTCAGTCCCCTTCCCAGCCCTATCTCCAACCCCAGCCCCACATCCATTCCCAGCCCACCCTTACTTCAAACGGGTCCCAACCCAGTCCCTGCCGCCTCACCCACTCTGACTCCACATGCACCCCACCCTCCTCCCGAGTTCCCGATCTACCCTCAGCTCCATCCTAAGCCTGTCCTCATCTAAGAATCCACCTCCCACCTCAAGCACAGCCCTAACCCTGTACTGGACGCCAACCCCATCACATCCCTTTCCCCAAACCCTTCCCAACCGCAGCTCCACCTTTCTCCAACCCCAGCCCCAACTCCAGCCTCCGTCCCAAACTCTCTCCAACTCATCCTACCCCCATTCCAGTTCCTCCCCAGCCTCAGCTTTGTCCGCGGTCTCGGTCACGTCCCCGGCTCCCCTTCTCCCTCGCCCCTCCATCCCCGGCCCTCCACGCCCTGCCCCTGCTCACCCAGGGGCCCACTGATGCAGGACACACAGTGGAAATAGCTCTGACAAGCCCGCTCCACGTTGAAGGCCACCCAGTACCGCAGGCTGCTCAGGAAGCTGAGCCAGGAGTCCAGGGGGTTAAGGATCCTCACGTCCCCACCAACGGCCCCGACACGGGGGTCCTCGTCCAGCACGCGCACCAGCTCCATCAGGGCCATGGGGTCCAGCCTGGTGTCCGAGTCACAGACCTGAGGGACCAAAGGGGCCGGGGTCGGACCACACTCCTGCCGCGCGGGGCTGGTGCTCGCAGGGAGGGCGCTAGGGGTGGGGAGCAGCTCGACTTGTTTTTTAATGTGTACACTTTCTTTTAATTGGGTCTTTTGTTTTTTAATTTTTATTGTGATTTGGGTGAACGTTTACAGAGCAAATTCATTTTCCATATAGCAGTTTCATGACATTAACTACAATTCCCCACAATGTAACAGCTCTCTTCCCACGTCCTCCCCGTAGTTACCTCTTCCCTGTGTCCTTCTTTCCTATGCACTCCTGCCCCCTGAGCTATCGTCCTGTGCCAATACCGCCCTTCTGTTCTCCCGTGATTGATCACTCTAAGGAGTGTATCTACCTGATGTGGACATTCACCCCATAGGCCTGTCTGTTGTTTGGCTGGAAGCCACAGGAGTGAGTTCAGTTTCAGACCTGAAGGGTAACTAGGGGCCATAGTCTCGGGGAGCTTGGGGCCTTCAGTTTTTAAACCATTTACAATGTCTAGTCGCATCTTAAAAGGATCCCCGAGACCTACCTACACCCTTGTATAACAGCCCTCTTGAGTGTGAGTGAGAACTGTAACTCATCCCCTCCCCAACAGAATATAGCACAAGTGACAGCATGTAACTCCATGAGTATGTGACTTTATATGGAAAAGGTGAAGCGATTTTGCAGATGTAACGAAGGGGGTCCCTAATCTGTTAATTTTATATTAATAAAAATGGAGGCTGTGCTGGGTGGTCTTGACCTAATCAGGTGAGCCCTTTAAAAGAGGGCTGAGAAGTCAGAGACTCTCTCTCTTTTTCTGACTTTGAAGAAGCAAGCTACCAGGAGGCCCTCGAATGAATTCTGCCAACAAAAACACATGAACTTGGACAAGGACCACTAAGCCAGCTCTAGCACACACCCTGATTGGAGACTGGTAAAACCCTGAACAGAGAATCCAGCTAACCTGGGCCCAGACTCCTAACCATGGAAAGTGTGCCACAATAAATGGGTGTTGTTTCAGGTTGCCAAACTTCCAGTAATCTGTTACAGAGCAACACAAAACATACCCGTTGAATTAATGAGTCTCTCCCTGGATGGATGGATGAATGACCAATGGAATCAGTGACTCTCAATGTTTAACAGGTGATGGATGACTGAGTGAAGGAAATAATGTCTGCATTGAGTGAATGAAGGAATGTCTGCACTGAATGATGGATGGATGAATGAACAAATGAATCTCTGTGTTGAACGGGTGGATGGGTGGACAGACGGATGGATGGATGCGTGGATGGATGGATGGATGGGTAGATGGGTGGATAGCTGGGTGGGTGGGTGGACGTGGATGAGTGGATGGATGGATAGATGGATGGATAGACGGGTAGGTGAGTGGGTGGATGGATGGATAGGTGGATGCATGGGTGGGTAGGTAGATGCATGGGTGGATGGATGG